ACTCTCTTTTTTTGTTCCTGTGCAGTGAAATATTCCCTTGTAGCTCAAATTCAAATCTGAAAGACATCAAAGTACAATATAAAACAAAATGGAAGGCACCGCAAGTGTCTGGGAGAAAATAGAGAGAGGTACATTACTTTGTAGCTTCCCTTCTCATGCCAAAATTGCAACGCCACAGAAGTCAGGAAGCCACAGTGGGTGCCTTGGATCCCCTTGGTAGGTTAGATTGTTTTCATCTGTAGTATTTCTAAAGTCTTTTTCCTCCAGTATTAAGGAATAATATATTTTTTTAAAAACACTGCCCTTAATATAAGGACGTGTGTTATGAAGCATGAAGTTCTATAAATATTTATGCCATACTACAAAAAAAAAGATGACAGTTCTTATTTTCTCAGCCATATTGGGGTCATTTTGTTGTGTTTGACCATGGGATTGAAGAGTGCACATGCGTTTCTACCTTTCTGGAATGACATTTGGATACTGGCACATTTCTCTCTCCTTGTACTTTTGATGAGTTTCTGAATTGACTTCATTTCACAGTCACTTTCAAACTTGCAGCAGGGTTTCTAAAGTAGCAAATAAGCTCCAAGACCTTGTTGGCCACAACACGATACTGGCCTCCAAGGTGGGGTTTCTGAAACATTAAGGCTGCAAACAAGCCTATGAAAAATGGCAATGAGTCCTTGGGCGACTTGCTTCCAAATGTGCGCTGCCAGTACAATTGATACTTGGTTCTTGTGCTATGAGATGTGCTAGAATTCCCATGGTGGGGCTGTAGCTCAGTGGTAAAACCATGAAGGTACCAGGCCCTGTTCCTGGTATCTCCAGGCAGGACTAGAAAACAGTCTTGAAATCCTGGGAAGATACTGCCTGTCAAGGTGGGCAGTCATGGACAAACAGACTAAATGGACCAGCAATCTGGTTCAGTAGATCACAGATGTCTGTGTTTCACCATGTTTACTGCAGCAGTTTTGATTTAGGACTGCATTTGCAAAATGAAATAAAAAAAGTGGCAGTACAGAGCCTTCTGCTTTATTTAAAGTGTAGGTGGGCAGGCAGGCTTGTCAGATCTACTTTTTGATTTGGGGTTCTTTTCTTAGAATTCGAATACCTTTCTCAGATACCTTTACTTTTTACCTGTTTTATATTATACATTTGTAAACTTTTATAGTGCATATTTTGTTGTATCCTATGGTTGGGCAGCATAGAAATGGCATGTATAGAAATAATAAAAGCATCAAACAGAAGCCAGGTACATAGTCCTCAGAATAAAAGAGCAGGATATCTTTGGGCATACTCAGAGTGTTAAAGGATGTGCTGCATTAAATGTGTAATGAGTAGATGAACCTTACCTTTTTCGTTCAAGAAAATACATGGTCTTGATCTGAACTAGAACCAGCTTGTCCAAGTAGGGGAGATTTAAGGCTTCCCACCCAACTCCCCTCCCCCCCACCAAGTTTGCCTCCCCAAATGCTTCATAAGAGTTCAAAGACCAGGAAACCCTTCCTTGGCATCAGTGTAGTTTTTCTTTTTAGCATGTGTATGTGAGGGAGGGTGAGTTTAGGTGGGGGAAGTGGCTGATCCTGATTTGGGCTGGAGGCCCCTGCCCTTTCTCAAGAGAAAAATGATGATCTACATGCTACATATTTAATGTAGTGTGGATTTTATCTGTGGACTTATGCATTTGCTTTCAGTACTAGAAATGGCCAGAGCTCATGGTTCTTTCTCACACACGAAAATGTTATTTCAGGAGTTATTTCTTTAATAATATTCTGGCTAATAATTCTGACTAATTTAGGTTGGGAAAAATCATGTGGTTATTATTGCATGCTTGAGAATAAGAACTGATTACCAGTCTCCCAGAATATACTTGTAGCTTCCAATCTGCCTTCTTCTTGCCCCTGGTTTAAGGTGTATGCACAGACAGGAGTGGGAGAGGAAGCCCCATGGGAGAGGAGTTAGGGTTCTCTAGCAGTTGCCATTAGAGGAGCCTGTCACCTATTACCAAAAGAGAAGAAATGTATCACAACACTTTTTGTATTAGAGTGTTGTGTGGATCACTACTTATGCTTGCAGCAGGCTTCCCTTTCCCTTAAAGTTGTGTGTGTGGCTATACTACTCCCATGTGGTCCTAAACACAAAGACTTCAAGTTGATAAATCAAAATTAACAGAATATGTCTTTCTTGATGAACTTAGGTCCCATTGGGTAGTACTTTATTGTGCCCATGTACCTGTGGGAGTTGCTCCCACAATGGGGCTTTTGTGCTTTTCATGATAATGCAAAACAAGCTGAAGGGCACAACCCTATGGCTTTTCAACATAGTCTTGCAGGGCAGCAAGATTTTTTGGAGTCCCAACACTGCAGCCATCAGAACTTGGTGCTTGGAGTTACTGTGTTGGTTTGCAGCTACCTGCCTCTGCAAGAGTAGAAAGGTACCCAAGAGGGAGAGAAGAGGGGCAAGGCAGGGAGGACATGAGACTGGGCTTCTCTTTTGTTGATTCCAATAGAAACCTGAGCATTCCTTCTTCCCTCATCCTGGTGCTTTATCTAGATGGGGGTCGGCAACCTTTAACACTCAAGGAGCCATTTGGACCCGTTTCCCACAGAAAAGAAAACACCGGGAGCCGCATAACCCTTTTGACATCTAAAATGAAGATAACACTGCATATATCATTTTTTACCTTTATGTTATGTATAAAAAATCTATAGTGTGTTGCATTTGTGAAATCAATGAACTGCTACAGAGAGAACAAATTTTTATTTCTGCATGCAACAAAAACATTTTGAACTCCTAAAAAAACCAAGGAAGTAGATCTATATCTTCATTAAGATTTAGCTGCAGCTCTTGTTCAGTCACTAAAAAGTGTTATTTTTAATCTTACATTATAAACTTGTAGGACTCCTTTCATATATTTTGAATAGGAGAACAGCTTTCTGCAGAGTCAGAGTCAGTGCTAAAGGGCTGCATGCATTAAACAGCAAACCCCATAAGTTCGTCAGCAGTAAAAGCAAATGAATCTACCCACGTACCATTAAACTTTTGGGTTTTCTTCTGAAACTTTGCTTCAGTTTATCCATGGTTGGCCTACGGGTGGGGGTTGGGGAGCTGTGCTGGAGATAAAGGTATGTTTAGTGACTGATTAGCAGATAAACAGTCAAGTGCTGTGCATTGTGACAGGTCCCAAGCGCAGCTTTTAATGTTCAGATGAAGGAGAGTACATTTGGACAAAGAATCTTTTCAGCAGTGTTTGAGTAACTTGAGAGCCTGCAGGAAGCTTGTTGCACTCTTTCCCTGCACAATAGCAGAGGAATGTAGCAATTTACTTAACCAGGCTGGGTCGCAGATTGGTGGCTGTGCCGGCGTGTGTTTTGAGCGTCAGAGCCGCAGCAGAGGGATTCAAGAGCCATGTGTGGCTCCAGAGCCAAGGGTTGCCGACCCCTGATCTAGATGGAGGAAACGACTGGTTAAAATGCTGGGTGTGACCACGGCTGTGTCTTCCTCCTGTCCTTGGCTGCTCATAAGTCTCCAAGTTTTCAGGGTAACGTGCGTCTACCGTAGAGAGAGGTGGTTGGACTGAGCTATTAATGCTTGATTCTAGATTGGGGCAGGTCAGTGGAAATTGCAGAATGGAGCTAGGCTGACCTGTGCTGATGTGGAAAAAAGTCTTTCTGCTTGTTTCAGGGGTTATTTTTAAAAGTGTGAAAGCCCTGTTGTGCAAGTGGTGGCTCTTATAGGTACAGCAGAGCCTGTAGAGGAGGAGCAGCCTCTTTGGATAATACCCATGAGTTTCATTAGGCCTACTCTAAGCATGACTATGTCTGAATCCCATCCACTGCAAAACAGATTAGATATACTTCCTGTTACAGGAGTCTTCTGGGCAACTGTGCAGTACTAGGTGCCATTTAGAGAAGTCCCTTGACCATTTAGGACGGGGTCCCCAAACCTTTTCTAAAGGGGGCCTGTTGACAGGTGCCAGCGGTGGGCGTGGGCCACCAAGGCGGTGCCGGCGGGGGTCCTGGGCTGGTGAGGGGGTGGGGTACGTGCACACATGAGGTGGGGACGGAGGGGGCGTGTGGTGCGAGGCACCCGCTTGCTTGCGAGGAGATCGTTTTCTCCTAGTGAGTCCAAAACAACCTCCCTGCGAGCAAGCTGCCACCGGGTGGCTTGCTCACAAAGAGATCATTTTTTCCGATCGAGTCCAAAATGATCTCCCCGCAAGCTGCCACTGGGCGTGCACACAGCAAGGCGGCGGCTTGCTCATGAGGAGAGCATTTCCTCCAAGCCAGTCCAAAACGACCTCCTTGTGAGCAAGCTGCGTGCCTGCGTGTGCCTGCACACACACCTGGTGAGTGCAAAACCTTCAGGGCGTGCCGGTTAAATGGGCATGGCAGGCCGGATTCGGCCCCAGCCTAAGTGGCCTTTTGATATAGGGTCCTAGTCTTTATTGTTAATAATATTTATTCTTAATCTATATAAGGATTTGTTGCAGTTGGCCAGGATGATTTCAATAAAAAATAGTTCTGGTTTTATTCTGCATTGGTGTATGATTAGTTTATTCTGCATTGCATCTAGTTTGCATCACTAACTTAGAGTTTCTGTTAGAGTTGCATTTTGTGCACTCTCATGTTTTCAGTACTTCGCTCTGCCTGCTTTTGGTCACTAGATGGCATTGGCTGCCTACCTTATTTTTAAAGGAGAACTCTGTGGACATGACGTCTGTATTTTCCAAGTACATCCTAATGTTGGAAGAGTCCATACTTTGAGCCTTACTTAAAGAAGAGAAAGAAAGAGGAAGGAAGGAACAACAAACAAATTACTTCAAATCAATATTTGCTTTATGAGTGGAAGGCCTAGCAAACTGCTGCAAACAGTCATGGCTGTTCAGAGAGATATATATTACACCCTGTTTCCCTAAAGACTCACTGTCTATAGGAACTGCATATGGAAGAATGCTGAGCTCTATGAGCTTCTTACTCAAGTCTGTGTTTCTTTTTCAGGTTGCTTGTCTAATACGGGTTCCCTCTGAAGTTGTGAAACAGAGAGCACAAGTCTGTCCCTCTTCCAGTACCTTTCGGGTACTTTCGAACACGATCTATGAAGAGGTACGAACTGAAACCACATCCTCTTTCCCTGTGCCCTCATCCTCCGTTTGTTTCCCTTTATTGAAGTTTAGTTTGCAGGCTCTTCAAGACCTCAAAGGCCTGCTGAGCTCTGTAAACTGAGGAGCATGTTGAGGCCATTATCTCGGTAAACAATTGCTTTTAGGTAAGGAAAAATTAACCTGTTGAGGTGGCCCCAATATTTTCTGAATTATTCATGATTCTCAATCTTAAAACTCTTCATTGGTTTATTCATGTGTAGAAATCCTACCTTGCCATTTTAAGCCTATATAATGCTTCTGAATTGTTTCTTTGGTTTCTATTTGCTGCCTCTTATGTTGGTGGTATGATACTGTTTTATTGTATGTTGGCCGGAATGGATGAAGCATGCATAAAAATGTTTCACATCAGAGTGTCCAACCTATTTCAGCCCAAACTGTGAATTCAGTTTCAGGCAAGCTCTTGGAAGACTGATTAAAATGGTGGGCAGAGCCAAAATGTCCAAAGTTTCACCATGTTTTAGTGTAAAGCTATTACTGCCAATAACTAAGTCATAGGAATGGTGTTTTGACCTTTTTGAATGGTGAAAGACTTCTCAATAGCTAGGAAAGCACAAAACATTTGGAGTCAGTGGGAGGCCTTTGGGAATTTCATTCATTCATTCATTCATTCATTCATTCATTCATTCATTCATTCATATAGTTCAAAATCATGTAATGCAAGTAGATAAGCAGGTGCCACCTTAGTGGGAAGGTAACAGCGTTCCATGACATCATGTTGGCCACATGACCATAGGATCATCTTCAGACAGCACTGGTTCATGGCCTTAGAAATGGAGATGAGCACTGCCCCCTATTAGCTATGGGCTCAGTGGAGTAAAATCCACAGGGACTGCTTTTTTAATCTATTTTTATACCATCCATTAGCCGAAGCTCTCTGGCCAATTCTCAGAAGTAAAAAAAATGACACAAGCAAAAGAGGCATAAGACAATAAAACTGCAGCAATTGTAACTGAATCAGCACAGAGGAATAGCAGCAGTACAGGATAAAATGCAATATTTTTAAAAATCTAAATTTTAACGGTTAAGTGTTAAAATACTGAGTGAATAAAAAGGTTTTCATCTGGTGCTGGAAGAAATAGAGAGTAGGCGCCAGGCATACCTCTTTGGGGAGCTCATTTCAAAGCAGGGGTGCCACAACTGAAAAGACCCTTCTCCTGGTACCCACCCTTGTTACTTCCTTTGGAGGAATCTCTCAGAATCCTTTGTACAACCAAAATTGTAATGGAGAGTTCTCAATGGGAAGAGTTTTAGCATCTTACTGTCTGGCACAAACAACAATTTAACATTACAAATTGCTTCCAGAGTTTGCTTGTTTCCCCTGTTCCTAGTTCATACCCTTTTCTTTCTGTGATGTATCTTTTAGATTGTAAACCTATGGCTGGATTGTATGTAAGCCACTGCATGAGCCTTTTTGGCTTGGAAGCAGGGTAAAAATGGATCAAGTAAATAAAAATAATAAACAAGGAAATCAGTCTTTAGTTGAGGCTCCCTTAATGAGTGACAATATTACTGCATATAAGAAGTCCGCTTAAGCATAGGGAAATGAAGCGCTATATCTTAATTTGATGCAATTCTTTACAGTCATAGTTGTCCAATTGCTTCAATGGATGGCCAAATATTCCTTGTGTTGTTTGTAGTAGAATTCCTAAGAGGAGTGGAAGCATATGACTTTTGGAAAATTGTCATGGACAGTGTTGGCCAGGGATCTATTCTGGGTGTTTTGGAAAAAGGGGACTACAGGATAACTAGTTTGGCCTATCAGAACCCTCAAATGTGCACTGATATACCACAGTATCATATGATCCTGTATGATATGTAAGTACTTCCTGACAGTTAGGACCCCGAGGGTGTGGAATGGGCTTTCACAGGAGGTGATTGAGGCCCCATCAGGAGGGAGTTCAAGGATAGGCTAGACGTGTACATGGTGGGCATGTTGTGAGTGGAGCCGGCTGAAGCTGGGGGTCAGACTAGATGGTCCGGGAGGTCCCTTCTGACTTGCTCTGTTTCTATGTTTCTATGACTAGGGCTAGTCCTTCCTCTTGGCTTGCTGGTATTCCCTGCTTCAAACTTGCCTTTTCTTCTGCCTTAACAAAGGCAACTTTGACTTGGCTTATTGGAGATTCCTTTGGCTAATTTAGCAGGACTGACAATATGGAATATATTTATTTATTAAATATTAATTTGTACTATTTCTATAGCACTTAGCATTTTAAAAATCCCTCAGCAGGGATTTAATATAAATATTAAAATTACATCTAAAATGCAATTTTAGAACAATATGATGACAACTATACATATTAATACGGAGCAGTCAGGAGCAATAAAATGGAACAATTGATTTGATTGCAAGCCAGGAGGAAAGCCTTGGGGAACAAGTGTGTGTAAAGGAGGTGATTAAAGGATGGCAAATTTTCTTCCTCCTTTGAAGGAGTTTTTTCTGTAAGGTGGTCACTGCTACCAAGAAGGACTGCTATGAAGTTAGTACATGGTGGCATTCTGATAATTATGGAATGATCTTAAGGTTTGGTTGGGGAAGGTGGTGTGTTAGATAACCTTGTTCTAAGATGATTAGGATTTTGGCTGACAATAACATGACCTTGAATGTAACTTGGTAGCAAATAGACAGCCAGTGCCATTCATTTAGTAGAGATCTTGTGTGAGCACAGCTGGGTGTCCCAGTAAGTACTCTGGCTGTTGCATTGTGGACTAACTGCAGCTTTTGAACCAAGGCCTAAGGGCTGCTCCAAGTAGAGTGCATGGAGGAATCATACTTGACAATAAAGATACTGTTGTAAGAAAACCAGCGGACAAGATCTGTAGAATGCACACAAATGCATTTTAGCTATTCTGCCCATTTTTGAAAGCAACGAATGCATTAAATTTTGGGTTCCCATCAGCCTTGGAAATCCTGCTACTTTCCTTATGTCCATTTGGATTAGCTGCTCGTTCTAAATGCTTGGTAAGAATAAATTCATACATTTATATATTTTCTTCTTCTTGCTTAATAATGTGACAGATTATCCCTTTGATGTGCAGCTGTAACTGATTAGTTTAGTAGCTGTTATATACGTTTTGAAAGTTAAGATAAAGCTCTCCTATGCTGGTAAAGATTAGGAAGATAATATATAATGTGTTTATAAGCAATATTGTCAATTTTATGGGAGCCTGGGTATAAGACACAACAAAGCTGTTAGAATTCTTATGTAATTATCAGTAAGTTACCATCTTTACTAATGTAATTTCCAATAGCTGACACTTTCTCTTGTTGATTTGCAGGGTATTCTAGGACTCTACCGAGGTTATAAAAGCACAGTATTAAGAGAGGTAAAACACTTGTTTTAAATGTTCCAATCTTATTTTTAATGTGTGTCTTTGGAATTTCCTGAATTACTTCCTTCCAGACGTGTTATGATACTAATGCAAGTGCGTGAAAAGGATGGAGTTAGGAAACCTTCTCTTTTTTTCTCCCTCTCCCCTTTATCCAGTCAACCATGACAGAGCCCCTCTTGGAGGGAGGCAGGAAGGGCCCAGTCAATTTTATTCCTTCAGTTCCCCAAATGCAGTTCTCCCTTTTGTTTTGCCATATATAACTTATTTAAGGTACTGACTTTGTTGCTGCACTGGCTCTTTTTTATCCCTGGCTACAGAGATGAGTGCTTGGTTTGAGTCACAAGTGAGGAGACCAGTAGAACAAGAGATTGCAGAAGGACCAGAAGAAGCCTCTGCAGTTGCTTTCGTTTGACGCAGAGAAGCTTCCCTGGCCCTGTTTGGCCTGAACCTGCCTTTAAGAGAGGGCTCCTGCTAACACCTGTTGCCCCTCCACGCTTCTGTGGTGCACTGCCTCTGCTTTCACCTTGAGGCAGGGCACAGTTCGCATAAACATGCTTTGTCAGTTAGGGTGGTACAACAAACTGCATTCAAGCCAAGGAGGAAGCAAGTGCTTCTCATGGCTGTGTCAGTGGAAGAGAGGGGGATGGGAAATGAATGAGGCCAAGTCTTGTTTTGTGCTAAACTATGATGCGGTGCCCATGTTCACCAACGTGCCTGCAAACATCTCTCTGGGCATCCATCAGGTTCCCTGCCCCTCCTGTATTTTATTATTTTTTTAAATCTTTGCTGGGCTGTTGGCATGCTGCAAAGCAAAATGCTGCCCTTCAGTGCCATATTTATTTGGGTTCCAAAGAGCATTTCTATGTGTTGGAGCTGAGATTCCATCTCTGCCTTGTTTTTGGAAAAGACATTTTTCTTTTATCCTCAGCAGTTTGTCTTCTAGGAAATGAGTGTTTTATGACTGGCCATTTCCACAGTAGTAGCCATTTTATGACTGGGCAAGCCCTTTGAAGCAGCCATTTTCTGAGCACCATGGCTCACGCTAAGCATTTTGAAGCCCCCCCCCCCCCAAACCCAAAGGATTGGGGACCCTTTGCTTTAGCCTGAAATTTAGAAGCGGACTTTGTATCATATAGTATGGTTCAGGATTTCTGTCAAAATCTGGCAAAGTGTTCCCAAATGTAAGGGGAATAAGAAATAGATGCAATAAGAAACAAAATGCAGATGCGTATTGTAGCCTGGAAAACAGTTGGCTTGTGAAAACTTGGTTGTTCATCTGGGGAACTTTGAAAACTTTCATCTAACTAACTGATGCCAGGATGTAGAAGCAAAGTGAGTGTCACTCTAATGATCTATAAAAATACCATTTTTTCACTTTTCCTTTTCTCCCTTTTTGGGGAAATGGTTAAGAAGGCTATAGGGTGATGAAATTGAAAACTATAGTATGCCTGAAAAACAAAATTTAATATAAATATAAAATGTAATACAGTATTTAAAAAGCCAAACAAGCTGAGAAGTGCAAAGTTTATGGAGTTGTTTTAAAAAGTGGTTTGGCTATTGGGTATTCTAGAAGTATAATAACTAAAATCAAATAAACTAGCAGTTGTAAATACTTCCTCAAACTCATTTAATCCTTTAAAAATCTTTCTTCTGTGCATGTAGATCAGATGGTGATGGCCACCTTTGATTGAAATGAAATTACACAGGATTGTTTGTCCTGTGTAAATGCACTTATATAACAATAAGTGATTTCACTCTTAAAATAGCTCTAGATACTGGGAATGGTAATGAGGTTTTCTTTGTTCTAGCACCTCCAAGGGACTCAAAAATTAGTTATTTGTGTGAAGAGATGACACCTGTTGTTCTCAGACATAATCCCCACTATAGCGTCACCCTGTACTTATTTTCTGCCTCACTAAGCACATGTTACTTGTTCAGATTTCATCAGGTTGCAGGCAAAAGAAAAAAAAAGAAGTGGGGACAAGACTTTTTGATTTCTCTGAGGGTTGCTGAATAAATGAATAAATGTAGTTGCATCAAAGAATAGTGATCTGGTTTTTTTTTGTGGGGGGGGGTAGGTTCTTTTTCCTGGCATGTACATTTTAACTGAGAGATAAAACACGCTATTAAAACTGAATGTTATGCTCTCTCAAAAATATATTTTGACAGGGTGGTAATTAATTTCTAGGCTGGTCTCACAGCATAGCATATGACCCTGCTGAGGGATCTTTGCTTATTCAAAATGGCAACACTTTGTTGGAAATTTAATTGGGGCTCTTTCCATTATGTGTATTCATAAAAGTTCCTTCAGAACCAATTTCAGATGAAATATTGCTTTCTTTTGTGTGTTTGTAGCATCTGCCTTGATGGAATGAGAAACAAATTATTGTTGAAATGAAATGTAGCTTCAGTTCAATATCAGACAAAACACAAATGATCTATTGTACATTGTTGTTTTTGTCTCATGTGTCATGCATTTAGCTCTATGTTAAAAGGCTCATGGTTTCTGACACTGAATATTTGCATTTTTGGAGGGAGGTTTCTGTTCCTTTTTTGGCTTCTGCACAGTCAGACATGGAGCTGGGGTTGTTCTGAGTCTCCACGTGTATATTGGATATGTAAATAAAAGAAAGCACACACACAGTCTGTGTTTCTGTATTGCATGGGAGACATGGTGTTAATTATTGGCAATTTCCATGTGTTCATTTTCTATACTGACTCTAGAATGAGATGTAACACTAGCTTGGTGTGTCTCTTTCTTTTTTGTTCTTGATCGTGTGTGGAAAAATAAAGTGTGACATACCACTGCAGCCCAATTTCCCGCTTCCCCAGCAAATGGGATCTAAAAAAATGGAGTAGGCATTACACAGTGCTCTGACCTCAGGTTATGTGGTATATAGTTGTAGAAGTGAAAAGAAAATGCAAGGGACTCATGAGGATGTGGCTTTGGCAGCAACCGGGTGACTCCTAGTGCATCAAATTCCATGAAAGTTTTTCCTGTCTAGGTTGCTAATGCTTATGTGTTCCCATTTTTATCTGTAAAATTATGATTAAACCTTGGAAGATGACAGGACAGTCAAGTTCCGTCTAGGCATCCAAAAAGATGTTGTGTTTGTCCCAACATACCTCATCCTATGAAGATGCAGTGGACTGAAAGGGACCGATGGAAAGCAGTCAGGGAAGATGCAATGATGTGATTGTGCTTGAACATATGGGGGCACCCAGAATCATTCTAGGCAGAGGGCTGCTAGTACCACCTAGCAAAAGGCATTGTGTACTGTTGCATCTTTTCCACCTTAAGAGATTTTTTTCTCCTTATAAGGAAAAAAATGATAGAAGTGTGAGATGAGTGCAAATGGAAAATATCATTGTTTGGGCCTCCTGTACAAGTCTGTGAATGTGTCAAGGCAAATGCACCACAAGAGCCTCATCTGCAGGCACCAAGGAATTTTGACACAGCTTGTGTGAGTTTCCAGAACTGGAAAAATGAGAACATGTGTGTGGTAAATTAAGCCACAGCAGGGGAAAATGTTCTTTGCCGCCTTTGTGCATCAATTTTTGCATCAAGTGTTGTTATACTGATAAGGCTAGTTGTATGGGGAATTACACATTCTTGAGCTCATAGTTTGGTGATGAGCTGGTGACATCCATAGCTCCTCTGCTGAAAGTTTATCCTAGTAAGCTGAGCCAGGCCTTTCAATTTCTGTAGAATTCATTTTATTAACTATGACTAAGGAGAACATCTGTTAAAATTCCATTACATTTAGTTCATGGGAAAAAGGGGTGGAAAGGAGGGAATCCCTCTCCTGATCCTCAATTTTCTTTAGACTTAAAAACAAAACCCCAAACCTAACAGTCTTTTAGCAGATATCTGAAATGGACATGAGAATGAATGAAAATATAGCATTGAAAAGCAACCCATTGTTGTATTGCATCAAGTGTTTACTGTGATTACGTGCTTAATGATTTACTCTCAGTGGTTGTAATATACTTAAGAATGACATACTTCTCTTTATTTTAAATTGCTTCCTGCAACACTGAAAATCTGCATGGGCTAGAAATTTCTTTGAGTCAGATTTTTATTTATTCAAAAATGCCATGACAATTAAGGAAGAATACCACCTTAATCTGTAGTTGCCTTTCCTGAAAGAAACTTTTAGTATAGCTAGCTGAAGAGGAATTCTGTATTAATTTGCCCCATCAAAACTGGCTCATTTTGGCTAACACAAGAGACTGAACTGCACACAGCCACAGTTGAAAGTTTGGATCTCTGCCACAGAAGTTGGGGTCTGATTCCAGTGTACCATCTCCTTAGTGGCATTTTGAAGTTGATCCAGTAAATATGCACATGTATTGGAAAGTTATCTTGGAATTAATTATGTAAGTGCATTTTCTTGGGATTGCACTATGTTCTATAACATACAATAGCCAAAGTTCTGAAGGAGAACTTTTGTTTTTTGATTTTTGTAATCATTATATGCAGATGCTTTTAAAAATATAGGTAGGAAATGGATTATTCATGCTCAAGACAATAAAAATGGAATATGAAGTTCAAGTTCATCTAAATGCAGATTCACATAAATGAACTTTTCAGGTTACACTAACGAAGATTAATCTAAGTTGCTTCCAGAAAACATTTGTACTGTTTATATATTTTTCTCGCAGAACTCTTTATTTGACCTTGCAAATAACTGTGATCAGAGCTCCTAAGTAAATAAGACCCCCCCCCCCCATTAAATTGTTGATTTCAGGAATATGTTGTTGTTGTTAGTCATGAAGTCGTGTCCGACCCATCGTGACTCCATGAACAACATTCTTCCAGGCCTTCCTGTCCTCCACCATCCCCCGCCCCGGAGTCCACCTAAGCTCACACCAACTGCTTCAGTGACTCCATCTAGCCACCTCATTCTCTGCCGTCCCCTTCTTTTGCCATCTATTGTTCTCAGCATTAGGCTCTTCTCCAGGGAGTCCTTCCTTCTCATTAGGTGGCCAAA